AAATACACAATAGAACATTTAGTTAAAAGGTGTGAGAAATTAGTTTTTCTCTTACCTAAAACAAAGGAGCTGCAATACCATTCAAAACCCATGTCTGCTCTCCACAACAGCAATATAGAAAAAGACTTGACCAAATGGGCCCAAATTAATTCATTCTTATCAGGAATGCTACCAGTGGTAATTCCACAAGAGAGAGTACACAAGAAAGTTAGAGAGGGGAGAAGAGAGGAATAGGGATTTGTGTCTAAGCAGGGGGGATCCTATGTACATAAGGAGAGAGCAAGATAGAAACAGGGAGTTGACCTCGAATCAAGCACTGGGTGTGTGGTCTTATGTAATACCTGACAGTGACATTTCAGGGTGTTAAATATATGATACAGTCAGAATAAATGGCACCCCCCTTCCCAATCTGGTATGCTGCAAATAAATGTTTCAAAGTTTCAAAAGAATTTAATTAAATTTACAAGAAATTTGACAGGTTACTTCAGCATGAAAAAGCTATTGTTTCAATTTCAACATAAATTTTCTGAACTTTCAATGTAATTGCATATGTGTATTTTTATGATACTGGAGAGATTTCACCATGGATATTTCAGATCCAAGTATAAAAATAAAAGAGTATATTCTATGGTGATAATTTTGTCCATGTCTTAATGCAGATATGTAGTGGAGATAACTTAAATAACGTTGTGTTTCAAAATCCTGGGTTTAAATTTTTATGTAAGGTGAAACCCATTTTTCGCCCTTTTTAGGACTTACACCAAAACGTGACATGAAAAAACCTAGTTCCTGGTAATGAGAATTCTCTTAATTTGTATGACTATCTGATGTTCAATTATTGTCTGGTAGTAAGTGCTGAATCTATTTATGCTCATGTCATTAATAACCTTAGGTTGCGTGGCAAAGTTTTTTCATAATCACCATATTTCACATCTTGTAACAGTTGTTATGCATGCATGGTGTCCACCATGCAACACACGTTCCATTTGGTGCTTCTGCATGATGAATGCACATTATATGAACAACTTTGACAATTCCCAGTTTATTTCTTGGAAGAACTCCATGGATCAAATCAAATAAAAAAAGATGAAGCTTAAAATGTTATAGTTAAAAAAATCAGCACATGTTTTAAAATTCTAAAAAATTGTTGGTGTCCACCCATAACATGCGTTACCGTATATGAAAAATACAAAATACAATTTTGTTAAGAAAACTTCATTTATAATCGTTCTAATCTTTCACAAGAAAGGCTTTCTACATTGTGTATATAAAATTCATTGAATTGTTCAATTTTGAATCAATAGATATTTTTAAAAAAATTATGAAACTTTGGTGTCCACCCTAGAGGGCTGGGTTTACCAGTTTAACCTCGAGTTCGCCACGAGCTCCCCAGTTTAACCCGAGCTCGCCACGAACTCCCCCTTTTACCCACGAGCTCGCCACGAGCTCGCCACGAGCTCCCCCTTTTACCCACGAGCTCGCCACGAGCTCCCCAGTTTACCCCCGAGCTCCCCAGTTTATGCCCGAGCTCGCCACGAGCTCCCCATTTTACCAACGAGCTCGTCACGAACTCCCCCTTTTACCCACGAGCTCGCCACGAGCTCCCCCTTTTCCCCACGAACTCGCCACGAGCTCCCCCTTTTACCAACGAGCTCGTCACGAGCTCGCCACGAGCTCGCCCTTTTACCCACGAGCTCGCCACGAGCTGCCCAGTTTACCCGCGAGTTCGCCACGAGCTCGTGACGAACTCGTTCACAAGCTCGTGAAGATTTTGTAAGATCGTTACTAGCGTCCTGGAAGCGTGTACGAGCTTAAAGCCTAAAAAACGATCTTATTAAGCTTACCACGAGCATAATACGAGTTCGCGACGAACTTAAATTTGTATAGGGGTGGGACTAGTCTAATCCTGACCGTTATCTTGTCAATGTACTTCTACATAAGGCAATTAGTCACTACAAAAACATGTATGTTTTACTCTAGAATTTATCATGATTGATGGATAAATTAATTTAAAAACAATGATTTAATGAATTCAATTTTTTTAAATTTTTTTTTTTTTTTTTTTTGGGGGGGGGGGGGAGGGGTTGGGGGCATAACCATGATAAAGTAGGAATGTTTCATATTTGAAATGTGTAGATACTTTGTTTTGTAATTTGAATGACTTATTCACGATTGCTACTAAAGAAGAGTTTACCCCCCCCCCCCAAAAAAAAAAATAAATAAATAAAAATAAATAAATAAATAAATAAATAAATAAATAAAAATATAAAAAATGAAGGAGTACAAACACAATAACACTAGCTCTATTTCTTTAATTTGACTATACAAGTTACTAGATGTTGAATTAATCACATGCAGATCTACTTGATAACACGACCTACATAACGAAGCTCTACTCTGTTGCTAGGTAACCAATTTCTGATCATCACTATTTTTCTGAAGTAGATATCAAGATTACTCTTATCTGCTCTTGGCACTCCCAAAGATTTATGATCCAACTGTGTTTAATATGTTGTAAATAATCAAATTTTACATTTTAAAGGCAGTATCCTTTTCCTTAAAGAATTCAGTTTTTAGATACTTATCCATTAACATATTTCATGATGCCAAAATTCTAGGGCAATTTATGACACTTTTTATTATGCCTCCGCCATCGAAGGTGGTGCCGGAGGCATCATGTTTTCGGGTTGTCCGTCCGTACGTCCGTCCGTACGTCCGTCCCGTTTGACCGTTATCACAATATCTCAAGAACCATTTAAGATTTAAACTTAAGACTCGGGAATAGTATTTATCACCATAGGAAGACGATCTGATTAGATTTTGGAGTACGTACGTCAAAGGTCACAGGTCACAGAGGTCAACTTATGAAATTCCTTGTATTGAGTTTGTTAGCGCGATATCTCAAGAACCATTTGAGATTTAAACTTCAAACTTAAGGATAGTATGTATCACCATAGGAAGACGATCTGATTAGATTTTGGAGCACGTATGTAAAAGGTCAAGGGTCACAGAGGTCAACTTATGAAATTCCATACATTGAGATTGTTATCATGATATCTCAAGAACCACTGGAGATTTAAACTTCAAACTTAGTGATAGTGTGTATCACTATAGGAAAACAATCTGATTACATTTTGGAGCATGTAGGTCAAAGGTCAAGGGTCATAGAGGTCAACTGATGAAATTCCATACATTGAGATTGTTATCATGATATCTCAAGAACCACTGGAGATGTAAAAACTTCAAACTTAAGGATAGTATGTATCACCATAGGAAGACGATCTGATTAGATTTTGGAGCACGTAGGTCAAAGGTCAAGGGTCACAGAGGTCAACTTATGAAATTCCATACATTGAGATTGTTATCATAATATCTCAAGAACCACTGGAGATTTAAACTTCAAACTTAATGATAGTGTGTATCACCATAGGAAGACAATCTGATTAGATTTTGGAGTACGTAGGTCAAAGGTCAAGGGTCACAGAGGTCAACTTATGAAATTCCATACATTGAGATCGTTATCGCGATATCTCAAGAACCACTGGAGAATTTTCACTTCAAACTTAATGATAGTATGTATCACCATATCATAATATCTCAAGAACCACTGGAGATTTAAACTTCAAACTTAATGATAGTGTGTATCACCATAGGAAGACAATCTGATTAGATTTTGGAGCACGTAGGTCAAAGGTCAAGGGTCACAGAGGTCAACTTATGAAATTCCATACATTGAGATTGTTATCATGATATCTCAAGAACCACTGGAGATTTAAACTCCAAACTTGTTTAAATTGCTCTATGGCGGAGGCATCATTTTCGACTGCGCGCAGTCAAAATTCCATCTAGTTTAATATTTATTATGATCTAGTATGTTAATAAGGCTTACATGTTCTGTAGTATATCCACAATAATGAGGAAACAAATGTAAATAATGCAAAATGATCAATTCAGTGATTTTTGTAAATCAACTTTTATTGTTGAAGGAGAATTATATAGAGTATAATATATTTCAGTAATTTTTCTTGATTTAATTGGTCAACGACAAACATAACTGCATTTAAAGTTTTTTGGTCATGAATGTTTAATGTTCTGACCTTTACTCAAACTGAAATCGAGTAGAAATCATGCCCTTTCAAATCAGTTGAACTAGTTCACATTTTATCACTTGCACATTAAACACACCCCAAAGGACTGCGAATCTAAAGGTAAAGAGGCCTGAGAGATTTTGGCTGGTACTAATGGAGTTTGGTTCCTTCCTGGGTCGATCAACTTGAAGAGATTAAATGGAGAAAAGCAATTAAAATCACCTTCAAGCTTTATTGATCATGACTTGTGACTTCTCATGTTGTTAGGAACAGGAATTCTAACATTTCTAATCAAGTCGCTAAGTGAGTTCTGGTTCTCATATAAGAAATTATTGCCATCCTATACTGGCAAGAAATTTTTCAGAGACTTAAAATGTCTTTACTTCGCTTTGGATTGGCCAAAAGTCAGTTTGAAAATCCTAGGGATTCATGTGGTTATAATAGATTTTTGAGACAAAGTATAAAGCAGAGTTTGTTAAACTGTCTTTGCACTTTTCCCAATTGTGAAGACTGATATGAAGATATATTGATTATTATGGGGTCAGAAAATTGGCAAAAGATCTGATGCAGTTGTTTTCTTCATTGAGCAACCAATGGTATTCTATAGGATCCCTAATTATGATTTGCCAAAATGTATGTATAAATTATAGTACACTGGCATGCCTAAATATGAAAATGTGATTTCTAATTTACTTGTACATCAATTCATTCCATATGTCCCAGGTATGTTCTAGACTTGAATAATAGTTTAATATTTTATGCTACATGAAGACCATGAATCTGTAAAAAATTTGTGCAAGACTTTCAAAATTCTTTATTATTTGAAATGTATGTGTGTGTTGATATGATGAAAGTGTAAACATTGTAGTAATCAAATCTCTTTCTTTTATTTCTTCTCTCTGTTGCATACAGGTTGCCAACCAAGTTGTTCAGGCACTGCTCATGCAGAAGGTACGTAGACAAATAAATAATGATCAACTTCCGAAATTCACTGACATCATCTAAATCCCCTTGATCATGTCATTGCCCCTTCTATATCACTCACAAGTAGAAACAATTATCCAAACTTATGATGTCTATGACAAGTGTCATTTTCATTGACACCTTCAATTCCAAATGAACGGATATAGCGATCGGTGATTGCCCTCTCTAGCTCTCTAGCTCTAGTTGAGGCTGCAGGTAGCTTAGTGTACGCTCTTCATTTCCTCTGCGCTGACTAAGAGACCATCAGTGATTAGGATGAGTCAGGTTGGCCATGTCCAAGACGTTGAGAGATCCGACTTGGGGTTTTCCAGCCCTCTAAAAGGGGCCAAAAGACTTGCAACAAGTTGACGGAAGACCCTTATGATACCTTTAATCCCAGGATTATATAAAAGTAGCTCCTTTTTTTTTGAAGTTGTGATATTTAACTATAATGTTAATCAATTTTCAAAGTGAGGTGACTTTAGTGCCTGATAGCTCGGTGATTGCCCAAATTATGATAGGGAGACTGCTTTAGAGATGTTTTTTTTAAAATCAGATATTAACATTCTCGGTCGTCATTGTAAAGAGTGACAAGAATAGTTGTAGTCAAATAACTTAAGAATGAGTTGGAAAATGGAGACATTTAGGATAAGCTGGAGAGTGGTGGAAAATAATAAAGAAAAAAAGCCAATAATGTTGTGCATCTAGGAATGAGATATAAGCCAACAGCTAGATTGTGGAAGCCAAGATCATGACAATTAGTTACGTATCTGCGCTTCTGTCTGGGATTTCCCTTTTGCTTCTCCGCAAATCTTGAAGGAAATTTAATTTTAGAGTTGGCATTAATGACCCCCTTTCTACTCTGTTACAACTCTCTTTCCTGTTCAACCAGACGATACTTTACCTCTTCCCCTCGCAGTCTCGTAAAACATTATGCTGCCCTCGTAGTTCCGTTCTCAACCAGCTGGCTGCATGTGAATAATAAGCTTAAAGGCTTATGTCTGGCACTCATTTCTTTCTCATTAAGATAAGTGTGAATGAATGGGCTCATACATAGAGACTAGATTACTCATTGCATACCTATTAATTAAATTGACTTATGTAATGTTTTTCAGCTTTCATTAGTGTCCAAGACAGTTGTACAGTTTTTAGCTTTAGATGCAGCCCTTTCAGTGTATACGAAGTGGGGTGAAAATTTAAGGGCTGTTTTTGCTATGTATGAAAATTTGCAGGATTGATGGTTTTAGAGAGTCTAAAATTTGTTTCCATCCGTCATTGTTAATGTAGGCCTATATCTGGTTGTGGGGCTTCCATAAGCAGGAAACATTATTGAAAAGATTTCAGTCTTCATGCATTCATGTAGACAACATTACTTTATGTTAGTGGGGCTCATTGTTTGTGTATGATACATTTATAAACATACAAGTATAGGCTTTCTAAAACTTTATAAAGCTAAATGATTTTTGATGGTGTTATGTGCCAAGATACAAAACTTTGTGAGATTTAGAAATATCTTTAAGTTTGAGTCTATATCAAGTTGCAAGGTTTATTATGAGTGGGATTTCTCTCATGGGATGATGTTTCAGGATATTTTTGGACTGTGAATACCTAGTTTATATTGAGCTGTAGGATGTTGTAGAGGCATTAAGTTGGGTATTTTTAGCTGTGCATGGTACCCACAAAAGTGGTGGGTTGTATGTTTATAGGGAAACATCAATTTTTTAATTTAATCACTACAGGAGCATGATGGCACCATTTGAATTGAAATCATGTAGTGGAAAACATTACATCTTAAGCCATTCTTGTTTAGTGGATTAAAGAACTAATACTCTTCCATGAGTTGCAAAAATTTTCTCATCAACTGCTAGAGAAATATATTGTAATGATATTTATGATTAAGCTTATATTGAAAAGGCTGGTATTAAAATCTAAGCTCATAGATGACGTTATATAAAAAGGCTGGTATTTAAATCTAAGCTCATAGATGATGTTATATGATACAGAGAGCTATATGTATCTCTCATGAAGTCACTTCTAGTCATCAGACAGTCATTGATAGAAGAAGATCAAAATAAGCCATGTTTTAGCTCAACTAAGATCCAGTTTAACGAACTGGTCTGGGACCATTCTAATAGTTTGCTTTCCAGACTCACTTGAGTATATTGCAATAATTTGTTGTTTGTTTGTTTGTTTGTTTTTAAGCAGATATTTCTCCAGTGTAGTGTTGTGTTGATATTCATAATTTTCACAACATACAATTATACTGTATGTGCAGTTTGCATGTCACATGGGATATCGGTGCAGATACTGTAATATGTAGAAGGCTGATGACAAGACTAGGGAACCACTGCTGAATCAGAGTTTGAGGGACGATGAGAAAGAGAGATAGAGAGAGAGAGAGATAGAGAGGGGGAGGGAGAGAGGAAGGGGGTGACTGAGGTGCATGCGATGATCTCTGATCATTCGTGAGGAAGGGGACGACGGGTAAGCGAGGAAGCTCAGTCAGGGTGACGTTACTACCCTATCACGTTGGGTTCGTGGGGGATACGACACGCCACCGATCAAGGATTGAGTGGGAAGCAATCGTAGTGCCATGATGTACTTGGAGAGCCACTTCAGAAGTAGTTGCGTCGTGAGCTATGAGAATAAATAATGTTCTCTCACTACATCCTGTGTTATGTATTCAACATGCCAACACCTTGTTACCTCCAGTCTATAGGCAGTATGAATCCAATTTTCTCCTAGAAAAGTTTTGTCAACTCAGAGGTATCTGGAGCCCTGGAAGCATCTTCGTCTCGAGGGAGCTTGCTGACATCATTATTTCACATCTTAATCTTAACAAGATGATCATGAAAAGGCTTCCTTCGAATGGATATACAGACTTTTGTCATCAATATTAGTAAGCAGAATGTGACAGCTTGAGGACAACATTTTGACTTTGTTTGACGCAATCACACATGGAATGGATAATCTGAGAGTACCAATGAATCACTGCTATTATTCCGATTGGGCACGGAGAGTGATATACTTCTGATTGAGGATTAAGACAAAACACACAGAAACCATGGGTTAGACTTGGAAATTATTTGTAGTGCTTCACTGTGTTGTTTCTAAAGGAGCTCTGAGATACTGTCTAAACGTCTGCTTCTTGTCGAGTCCAGACACTCAAAGAGCTTCAACCTAATCATCTTGTGCCTTGCATTAATTATACCTGAGCAGCAGCAGCAGTACTTCTGTAGATTTTGAATGATGGTTGTTATTTCCGTTCATCGTTCTTGAAGGTGTTTTTCTCTTTGGTGGAGGGGGTAGAAGAGCAGGAATTTTTTCTAAGATGGAGGATTTTTTCTTTCCTTGGCTTGATCTGATGGTCTATTTCTCAGTCTGCATCGGACTCTGGTATTTCGTGTCACTGCAGGTAATGTTGCCAATTCGATGTCCATATCATCTCTTGGATGTGTTGGGATGATATGATATGAACTTGAGTGTTTCTGTTTCAATCTTCGATACCAAAACAATGCAACACTGTTCAAAGGTTCTTAAAAGTAAAAAGTATTTTATGAAGATTGGGTTTAAGATTTGTGCCTTTGTTTGTTTTACTTTGGGGGAAATGAAGGGATCTGCTCCCCTGCAGAATGTTTTAAAATGAAGGAACTTGTTTTTAAATTCATTTCATTTTCTAATTCTTTATCCTGAATGATAGATAGAAATGGAATGTTTCAGACTGTTTTTATAATGATGAAATGGACATATACCTCAAAGAAAATGTAAAAATCACGTTTGCAAATATTACTGATCGCAATACCTACCGGTAGCTCATTGACAGGAAACTTTAATCTGGTTCATTCATACGATAAAGAAAATATATATTGGGAGCGAGTGCCCTTGACTTAGTGTGCATTTATATGTCCATCTCTGCAGCTGTCATTTGGAATATATTTCGAGATATCTTTTGATAAACAGAAGTTATTTGAGGTGTAGACCCAGCTGGAAAAAAAGAGAGGAAGCTTGCATTCACAGATGAAATGTGAGTGGGGTTTTAGCTAAGTTAAGTCATCAGTTGTCACTCTAATGCAAGATTTGAATCTGGAGTTTAATATCCGTCCTCCTGGCATCTGCCAGAGTTTCAGGAAAGGTCCTCCTAACTTATTACCCGCTCTAAAGTCTAAACTGTTACAGATTTTTTTTTTGTGACCATTTTTGCATCAGGATTGGTTTTGCTGAAAACCACTCAGAACAAACCTTTCTGAATCTTTCTTAGCATATATAGTAGTTTTGCTATATAACGTATCAGATGTGTACCCTGTTTTGTTTTTTTGGTTAATAAGTAATGTAGACAATTACAATGCAAAATTATAATAATACTAACTATTGTGATAAATTTTTCAAATGATACACATTATGGATGATAGTTTAATGAAGTTGATTTTACTTTTCTTAGCTTGACATGATGACTAACCCTAAGGGAAGAAAATTACTCTAAATAATAATAATAATACAAGCTCATCCTTATATAGCGCATTTCAGGACCGCAGGCTTTACAGATATATATTTGTACATATTTAAAGATATTTTTTGCTGTAGAAACTTTCTGAGTTTGCCTTTTTTTAGTCACAGGCAGGATGTCTCCTCCAAAGCTTATCCTTAATGTTCCAAATGAGTCTTAGAAAGAAAACCTACTCCCAAAATAAAAGTCATGATGACCTTTGTTAGGGGGCGGCTGGGCATTAATGTTCCTGCCTCTTTGCCAGAGGGGCAATCCCCTGTAGAATAAGTTGACATTGGTGTGTCAATAGACGATGTATAAGGCAAGAAGAGGAAGAAGAGCTCTTAGATCTCACCCCTCGGCTGTGCGAAGGTTACATTAATGTATCATCGGTGCACAATGCATTACTTATCAGCCTTGTCAGTTTTCATTAGCTTCTCAACCTAACGATGGGTGGGCTCCATCATCACATGATTTCTTCTATCAAAATGTGATTCCATGGTTT